TTTGAAATGTGAACAGGCAGGTGATGCTCCGTGGACATTCGTTTGGAGCTACGACTCTTGCGAACTGTCACCCAGTGAGATCGCGGCTGCTCGGGAAGCTGTGGGGGGCGGCTAGTTTGGGCTAAGTTACGTCTAGGAGGCTCCACACCGGCTACATGGGCATAGCTAGCTGGCCTATTCTCCATGGTGTGGAGCTGCGCTTCTAAGTCTATGAGCCTCGCCTCCAATGCTGCTAGCATCTGACATTTATTACAAGTACTATTATCGCTAAAGGAGGCAGAGGAATAACTGAACATGCAACACTCCGAGCAAGATAAAGGAGGAGAGGAAGAGGGGGAAGCCATTGCTCTCGATTAAGCTACTAGCTTAGCTAGCTTCTAAACTAGCCGACCTAAAGTAGCAAGTTAAATTTGGTAGTTAGCAAGAACTTCTGCAACACAAGTACTTACAGAAAATAAACTAAATGGATTATAGCTGTAAGAAAATAAATGTTTGTTCATGTAACTTTAAGTCAACTTTAACTCTTTAATTAAGTGGAGGCTGCTGTATAAACAAACCCTGGATGACAATATAGTAAAACAGAGAAATACTACGTATGTTTTCATAGGAGAACTTATAATTGTTGGCAAATACTGTACATGAATAAACACTTTAAAATCTTTATATATCTGCTTACAGCTACATTATAGTTTGAAATATATGAAATAGAAGGGACTTTGAATGCTACACAATAATGTTCAGATTTAAATGATATAAAGAAAAATGTCCAGTTTCACAAATCAATCAATATCAATATCAATCAATAGGCCAATGAGCTTATTAGGTAATTACTAGGCAGCTTATTAGCTGATTGTAGCTAGTTAGCTAATAGGATAATTAGATTGTAGCTGATTTACTAGCTATTACTCCTAAGCTTCTGTGATTACAAGGAGTAGAACTCCCCCACCACACCCCCCAGCAAAAGCCTGGCCCTCTGTGGTCTGCTGAAGAACGCTGCACAAGTCTGGCTGCTCCGACCTGTGGTTCCATCCCTCAGCTGTTCCTTATATTCATTTACTTTGAATAACAAAAGAGTGCCAGCAGTGAGTTAAGAGGCCATCTTGTCCATTTTATGGTTTGGGAGGAGGCCTGTTTAGCTTGAGGGTCCCTTAAGTCCTTATAGGTGGCCCACTGCTGCTCCACATGAATGTGAAGAAAGTCCCTAGGTAGCTGCTAACCGTAGATCAAGCAGCTAATGGCGCTGAAGACCTCACAATGGCCATAGGATTTATAATGTGCTGCCAGGCTTCATCTTTGAAGGGACAGTAGCCTGTGTGTCCCATGGCCCCATCTCTTACATTTTACTGTCACCATGTTGTTATTTGTCCTTTTCTCTTTCTGACTAATGGGGCAGACCAACCAGGTCAAGACTTATCTGTGGACCTGGAAGAGGACCATTGTTGTGGCTCATTTAAAATAGCAAAGAAAGGCCGGTGTGCCTCTTTGCTTGGAGGATAGAAGGAGACACCGCCTTCTCTTTGCCCAGCCCCATAACAGACTTCTTCAGGTCTGTAGTGCTGGTTAATGACCAAACTAGACAAAGTCATGCATCACGGTTCATTAGACTCCTGTGCTTTATATTCACACTGTAGACACTCAATGTGCACAGATGCTTCGCCATGACATCTCTGAATTAACTTTGGTTGATGTTTGAACACTGAGACATTTCAGTCCATTAGTGATGATTGTTACTGTGTCATTCTTAATAGTGGTGCCAGATGGTTGTATAAAGAATGTGAGTGATGCAAGACGACATAGAAGAGAGGAAAGAAGTTAAATATGGCCAGTTGGCTCCTTGCCAGCAGCAGATGGTAAGCACACATCAGGTAACATGTGCAATTCCCAAGAGCCTCAAAGGTGGTCCTTGTGAATTTATTAACTTCTTATCTTATGTTTACCTCTGTGAATTTATAATTCATAATGGAACTTCTGTTATTCTTTTGATCTGAGGCCAGATGGTTTTTTGCTGGATATGCCCAGTGAGCGTAGATGAAGTTATTCGTCTGTGAGCTTTCCTGAAGCAAACGATTCCTCAGTTTTTTTAGACCTTAGCTTCTTTTTGGGGCACCGTATTCACATCAGAGAAATAAGCTGAACAGAACAGCATTTTTTCACTGTTAGACACAGGTGTGCATATGAAACACTGTAATAGATAATAAAACTGACATGTGACTTGTTCTGTGTTCTCATGGGGCCTAATGCAACTGGCCTGAACATTAAAAGGAAAGGTGAAGTACATGGCCCCTTCCCATGACAGCTCTCTATCAGGGCTATCCCCAAGTATCTTGATATAGCATGACACAAAACATCTGGTCCAGTTTAGCTCTATGGGCCCGTCTTATTTAATTCACCCCTGCAGGGTGGGCCATCCCCAGATGACACATGAGGGGCAGGAAAGACAGTTTTATTCTTAAAGAACAAGGTGATATTAGCTTAGTCATCTGGAAACCCTAGTTGGTTGGTACTTGCATTTTGGTGACATTTTGGGTTTTTTTTTGTCCACATGTCCTAGAGAACAGCAACACACTCAACTACCACCACTACCAAATCTGGCAAATGCGCCTATTTCCTGCAGTAACTGACAAGTATCTCTATATTCATTCTTCACATAACTACTTCCATTCTTTTTTGTGTGCAACAGGCATGATTTAAGGAGAAACTGTCCAAAACAGTATGTCTTATCCTAATTAGAACAACCTGACCTTTTATTATAAATCTTTAAGTTTTGACCAGTTTAAATAAAATGTGATTTTTCCTTCTTAGATTGTTGCATTTGAATAGTTTCAAATTCCAGAGGAGCCAAAACTCCACAATTTCTTTAGAATAAATTTGGGCATTCAGAGGGTTCAGAACAAGGTCATTTTTATGCAGGAATGTTTTTCCTTTTTTGCCTTCCCTATTTGGGAAATGGTGACCCCCCTCCCCTACAAGATTCATTTTCATAACCAAGGCATCTTGTAACATCAATTTGTGTTGTTCTAAGTTACAAACAAAAATTTGAAGATTCAGATAAAGAGAAACGGTGGACACACAGGGTGTACACAGTAAGAGTGACAGAGTAGGGAGGGAAATGAAAGGGTAAGGTTGCCCTGTGGCATATACAGGAGAGAAAGAGGAAAGGAGGGCAGGGAAGTGCAGAGGAATGAAAGGCACAACGATAGGAAGGAAACAGTAGGTGGGTAGAAGGGAAGAGCTTAGAGGCTAATGACAACCTCCAGTGAAAATACAAAGGAGGCTGTGAAACATGAGAGAGATTCTTCAGCCTTCTCATGGTTTTCACAAGCCTCCAGTTCACAGGAAACAGTGCTGGGTACTAATTTGGTTCACTACAGTCAGTGGACCTAATGGTGGCTGCTGTTCTCGTGTAAATCTAATTTGGTTTTCTCAGTTCACCATCTCTCTGTGTGTGTGAATATGTGTAACCTTTTCATTATGTGTCTTTCTTTGTTTTGCCATTTTATTAATTTATAAAAATTCCTTTATATCAATGCCTGTCTATATTTAGCACTGTTTCTTCTTAGGACAGTGTGTCCCAAACATCCAACAGCAAGCACGGTCACTCACATTTAGTCATGTGATGTCTGAGATAGTACTCAGAGCATGCAGTAACCTCAGAAAGTAGTTGTTTCCTCCAAGCCCTTAATGTCAGATTTAATAAATGCACACTAGCATTAAGAGTAGGACCAAAGAAAATATGTTAGGAGCAGGGCAAATATGGATGTCTTACCCATTTTGTTGTGGATTTTAAGGTTATGACTGTTGGGTCAAGAGGGCTGCTGTATCCATATTGTCCTTAATATATGATTTGGCATCCTTTCCCCCATTCCCCTGCACTACAAAGCCAACTTCAGAATTAACAACTGTATTTAGGCTCCTACTGCAACAATCCCTTTTAATGCTCCAATAGCATTAGCTTGCCACATTTCCATTTTTAAACTCAGATGTGGAACAGATTGTTCCAGAAAAAAGGTGTCTAATACATACCCTCACCACAGGCCCTTTTCCTTCTCATTTTCTACCCATTTTACTTGTTTTATACCCACATTCTCCCTATCCCACACCTGTTGTGGCACATTTTTTTCAGAATTCTACCTAAACAATGGTCAACTTTCCAGAACTCTAACAGACCTACCATCTGGAAAAACTAACTAGCTTGCTGTTTCCCCCTTCCCCAGAGAATTCATATTGCCATTTACTCTGTGGGGGAGTGCAGAGGCTGAACAAGTTAGAGAGTAATGTAGGTCACTTTCTCAAGTGTCAATATTAGTTTAACATTTAGTAGTAATAGGAAGAACTGATTAGAGCTATAATCTAAGTGAGGTGTCAAATAACTCTTAACTTTTAAAAGTGACCCAATAATTTTCATACATGTGCTGCATGATTTAACTTGCAGACACCTTGCTGGTAATTTGTTGACCTACAGATGTTTTTAAGCTTGGTTTAACATTGTAGTGCTGTGTAAACAGCCATGTTATTTTGGTTCAAATGTTGTTAATGACCTTTGCTCATCATTCTGCCATTTGTTTACTATCGTATAACTCAAGAGTATGTCAAGATTTAAGACAGATGACTAGGGTGGGTTTGCCACCATCGCTGCCATCCTTTAGCTTGTACTAACTGTACTAAGGTTTCTTGTTGTTTTACATGTTGTGAGGGAAAAGCCAAAATAGTATTTGATAACCCGTGAAGAAGACCTGAGGGAGCAATAATATAACACCCTCCTGCTGTCTAGCACAGCACCAGGAGCATTTATGTCTCCAGATGGACTCTTAACACATTTGGAAGAGAGGGGAATGAAAAAGGCACCTCCTAAGTTTTGAATGTGTTCTTTGCCTGTCCAGCTAACACACAGCAGACGCTGACTGGTTTTGTGTGCACGTGAAACAGATGCAGTATAAGAGAATGACTTGATTATTTGCAGCCTAACTGTGCATACTGCCCTTTTTCATTCACAGGGATTGCTCTCATTGCCTCCTGCTCGCACACATGCACAACTAGAGCAGATACACAAATATAGCCATGACCACATGTACATACACACATTCATGCATCATACATACATGCATTCATAGACATGATAACAGAGCTGGCATGTTTTTCAACTATAAATAGTCATTGGGTAAAGCTGTCCTGTTATAAGCACTTGCCGCCTCCTTCCTCTCTGAAATCTTCATATAGCATGAAACCTAGACATGAAAGCTCTCTTTTTACAGAACACAGAATTAACCCAGACCGTGGCAGCCTGTTTCACTGCATCATGCTTGGTTCAAAATGTAATTTAACTTTTGTAGTGTTTTGTTAATTCAAAGAACATGCTGTTTAACTATGACTATGAATGAGTTATAGCTTCAGAAGTGTACCGGTTTACTTAAGCAGCACTTCAGGCTGTTTACCTTAGAGCAGCTTGTTCAGCTTTGCAGTGGCTGCTTGTTTAAAACTTTAAAGAGGTCAACTTCATTTATGCCTCAGAAAACTATCAGTTCTCTGACAGATTTCTGCCTCTTGAGGTTGTTGTCATGTCATATCAATGCAATAGTTGTAACTGGTGCTGAGACAGTTTGATTATGAAAGCACCACTTTTCAGAAAACATTAAAATACATTTATATCCACAATATAATTGTCCAGGCTTTTTCTTCTTGCCATGTTTCCTCATTAATTTGCAATTCAGTAGGTTGTATTTGGTGCTATTTCCTTTAAAGCAAACTTACCTAATTATTGTCTGTGCAGAAAAAAGTTATACAGTTAAAGGCAGCATGTCATCATCCTGTCTGAACAACAAACACTGTTCTATCCATTCTTCTTTCTTCCACCACTCACAGGATGCTGCACTAGTGGCTAGACATTGTCCTCTAACAAGTAAACAGAAATGGAAGGAGAGACAAAAAAAATCCTTGGACAGGAAACATTGCACCCGTGTCTTTTGTTTGTTTATGTGATTTTTATGTGTTCATATGTATGAAAATGCTCAGAATACTGTGTTCAGTGTACAAGGAGAGTCACATTTGGCCTAAGTGATTCACAGGATGTTGTTAGTTCAGCCACAATGTGAATGTAACCTATAGTTGAACCTTTGCCTATTTAATCACTGATTGTTTACTTGAGTGTCAGCTACATGTCTAAAAGAATCGGCATATTGTATATAATATATACAGTTGTATGGTAGAGGGTTATTAAATGCTTATACATGCCAGCTCTGCAGTGCTGCCCACTCCAGACATGTAATTCTCTCCAGCTTTAAATAAGCACAATGTTAGCTGAGCTGTCCTTCCTGCCATCTGGTCTCTGCTGTTTAACTAAAAGCACTCTTTCTCTCTCTGTGTCTGTCTCTTACAGGAGTCCACCCAGGTGACTAGGACCCGATCTACATCTCCCTGGTTTGTCCATCAACAAACTAAGTGCCTCGGTGCCGGCCACCCTCAGGTCACCTCAACCATGATGGGCGCCAAACAATAAAAGTCTTGACCCAGTGTCCCCCAGACAGCCTGCACAAAGCAAATATTTGAGGCCATTGTATCTCTCTTTTTTTGGAAAAGATCAGTGAAGGGTGTTGTTGGGAGACAGAAAGAAAAAGAAAAGTGGGGGAGGAAAAGTAGTCCTTTCAAAGTGCACTCTGCTATTTCTGCTGCACTGTGGGCAGGCAGCGTCTCATTTGGGAGAGCTCTTGGCCGACAAAAAAAGGACTTCCCTGTGCCCTGCCTATCCCAATGCCTGTGTAAATACTGGATAAAGATATCAATTTGTCTGGGCCGAACATCGCCCAACAAGGCGAGTTATCTACAAGGCAAGTTATCTATAAAAAACACAGTGACAAGCTTCAACTCTGTGGTGTCTTGAGGTGCTACCTATGTATTAACCCTGAAGGAAGATTCACAGCTTTGAGAACAGGAATGAGAGTCACAGACTTCTATGCTTAACCCCCTTTTCAAACACCATAACTAATTTTGAACAGCAGATTTCTGTTTAGACAGCCATTTGAGGGCTGTAGTTTTAATGTCTTTCCAAACTGGTGAATAAACATGAAGCCCCTAACACCAATTGGATCCCCATCACCTCTGAGGCTCCTCAACAAGGGTCCAGACTACCTGCGCAGGCAGATAGATGGTGGAGGCCACGGCCGCTCCATCAGTGCAGTGGAGAGGCTTGAGGCGGACAAAGCCAAATATGTTAAGAGCCAGCAGGTGATCAACTCCAAGCAGGAACCTGTACTGGCACCTTGTGCCACTCCACCACCACAGCCCCGGAGAGCTGCTGCCACCCCTGGGAGCCTGACGCCTCAGCTTTTCCCTCGCAGTTCATCCAACACCCCCTTCTCTACACTCTCTGGCTCCTTTACTTCGAGAGATGAAAATGAAAATGATGACTCTAGAAAGGAGAACCGACACATTTCTGTTGATGTTGAAGCACATAACAGGAGCAATGTGAACAATGTAATGCCTTCCAGCCCCAGGACACCTGGAAATAACACCTTGGTAGCACCACACAGTGCTCCTGTGCTCAGAAGAAGTACAGGCAAACGCATGCTGAGGCCAGATTCCCTTGTCATTTACAGACAGAAAAAAGAGTGCAAGAGCCACAGTGGAGCAGCAGTGGGAGAAAACAATAACATGGAAGTGAAGGGCTACAGTTTTGTCCGCCGCCTCTTCCAGGGCTCCATGAGAGAGAAGAGTAGTGAAGGTGAGAGCAGAATCCAGAAGATGGTGATCAGGGAAGAAAAAGCACCATTGCGGGATGGAGACTCCCGTATGTCTTGGACCAATGACAAAGACGCTACAGATGGTGGACCAGGGAGTAGGAGATCTAGTAAAACTGACCAAGAACGCAGTCCAGGTTTTGTACCCAGCCCTGGGTTTAGCTGCATGCTTGAACAGACTAACAATGGATTTACAAACTGTGCCAGTGTTAGAGTTAAAGATAGTATCACCAATGGCAACCACTCAAGTAACCATGATGACGAAAATGATCCGTGGAAGCGGGCATCACCACCAGCACCCAGAAGGCTGTTTGGGGAGTTGCACCGTTCAAAGTCAGACGTCAATCTACGCTGCTCAGTAGCAATAGCAATATCAGAGCAGGAGCATTTCTTTGACTTCTGCGGGTTGGACGTGGACATGATAGAACGTTTGGGTCGGGAGAATTTCCTCTCTGCGGCCAGCTCCATAGACACACTCTCACTGGCACTTCGCAGCGTGGGTGGGGAGTGCTGCGGTGGCTCAGATCCCAGTGAGTTCTCCCGCCACTCAGGAGATGGGCTGTTTCAGGATGAGCTGGCCGAGCAGCTTCCTGCTGGTGTGTCAATCATAGAGAGAAATGCTCGTGTCATCAAGTGGCTTTACAGTTGTAAGAATGCAGCTCAAGAGGGCCCCAAAGAGTCTACTGTTTAATATAGGGACAAGGAACCATGTGCCACGGGGTGCTGAGGGTCTGCAGGTGTCATTTCTAACTAAAGAGTGTAAACCAGGGAATCTGTACACATTCATCCAGTAAGAATCAGTTAGTGAAATCGCAAAAGATTTGGGTCTGCAGACCTTTACCCTTTGTGTAGAAATTTGCTGCTTAAAGAAATTTGAAATATAACAATGATACCCTCTTGAATTTCACAAACATTTAGTAATGGCTGTGATTACATTTTGCACCTTCACAGCAGAGAAGCAGAGCTTTCCTGGCAAAACTGCCAGAAAAATTATTTTTGTTTTAAATTTCAGATGAGAGTTAGTTGTGGTCAACTTGGTGTTTGTTTCAGCTGCACCGAGGCTGAACGTTCCACGGCACATAGTTACTTTTAGTCCCTTGTTCACCCTGACTCCAAAGAGAATGATTTTTTTTTTTCCAAATGAGAAGACTGCTACTGCTTATCTCATGTCAAATTGATATGTTGTATTTATAGATTCTCTTGAAGTATTGTGTTGGTATAGACTGACATAACTGGTGAATAGATCTACTTTTTCCCAGCAAAATGTTTGTGTGCATGTGTGTGTGTGTATGCATTGCTGTCTTCTACATTTGTACCTTCTGTTCAGTTCTTTGGTTACAGACAGATTCAGAACTGAGCTGCAATCAGCCCATGTGACCCCTCATAAGGCACATAAGTGTATGTTTGTCATGACAAAATGGACACAGTTAGTATCTCTGACACCAGTGCTCTCTCTTAATTAATTTAAAGTGGAAAACCACGAAGCTATGCTTTTGCTCTAAACTGGAAAACTGTTGTGTGAGTGTGAAGTGAACCATGAGTACCTCATTTGGATCTGTCCCAGTTTAGTTTGATTTGCTTTTTTTTTTTACTCTTTAAACGCAGGCGTTGGAACAGTGAAGTACCCCTGTGGGGTTGTTAATGCACTGAACTGGACAGAGAGAGGAAATGAAAGAGAAAAATATAGCTATGACTCAAAGATTCATCTCTTGTAACATTGAACACTGAGCTGTATTCAAAGGAGCGCCTAGATTTGTGGAAGACAAGGCCAATAATTTTCTTTAATTTCATCTCATTTTCCGAACCCTACAGTGGCCATACACTGTCGAATATTCACTTGTGATACAGTCATTGATTTTCACAGCTAATGCTTTGTGCCTGTTCAGCCTTCGTGACTGTGTAAGCTATAGCGCTGCAGAAATAAGGCAAAGGGAACAACAGCCTGTTAATGGTCAATCCTGTGAGAGCAAAATTGGACTTTGGTGAACACACATGTACACACAGAATTTAAATCTCTTTAAAAAAAAAACTATTAAGCATGAAGGAAAATCTCATAAAATAATATATTCACCTCCAAAAGAAAAGGAACTCAAGTCGTCTGCCAAATGTGGTCACATTTACCATCTGGCAGTTTACAGATGTTCAACCTCCCCAGCTGTTCCATCAGCCTGTTTTACATCAAAACAAGCAGAGAAGGCTGAAGCTGCCCTCCTTTCTCTGATAACCACAGCTCCCTCGCTTCATCCATCCTTCGGTGATTTTCACTTTATCTCCAGGAAAGGTCATCTCCATTGCTTGGCCTGGAGGATGCCACAGAAATATGAACTAGAGGTCTCTCAAGTTATGTGGAGGTTACATTCTAGTCTGAATCCAAGGACACATTATAATTGTACATGTGATGAATTAACACGATTACTTAGAACCTTGATATGTTTTTTGTTCTGTACTCAATACGAACATGGCACGCACCTGAAACTCCATCAAACTGGATTTATTATTTGGCTGTTTTACATCTCCCCATTAAAAACTGATTGGTTGCATATTTACAAAGTTGCTCCATCAGTGCTCAATCTCTTTTTCTTTTCATATATAGGAGATTTTGTTTTATTACAGAGATGTTTATGTAAGAAATCCACACCAAAATAAACAAAAATAAAGAAATATTTGTGTAAATGTCATGTCTTTATTGTCTTTGTTATGTCTTCTTCTCTTTTTTTTTTTGGTCGATTTTGGAAAAATTACCGCTCAGCGTCTAAATTCACTATGCACCTATAGCTGCTAATATTATAAAGCAGTAAGAAAGAAAATATTTGTATTTATAAATGATCCTTAAAAGGATTATAGCATTTGGTATTCAGTAAAAAATACTATGGAGAAAAGAGCTCAAGATCTGAAGAAAAGGCTGTGACTGTGATATGTTGTCTAATCTTGTTAGAGGGTTATGGCAGACTGAGTCAGTGTTGTGACGGCGTCTCGTCCTTGACTTTTTGTTGCCTCCCTCCACCACATCTCGTCTCATTTTTCCCATTATCTCAAGTGGCTATGCGCTAATCCTTTTAGCATTCCCTGCATACTATGCTCTTGAGTGAGCTGCAACAGGTTGTGTTTATAGACAAGGAGACCTCTGTGTGGCCTGATGCTATGTCTACGCCTTCCAAGCTGACCCTCCACCCTGTCTGCAGACTCCTCCTGACACTGACTCTTTTCTCCTTTTTAGCCCCAGGTCAGCTTTTGTTTCCACATGCAGCAGCTCACAATGGATTTAAATCTCAAGGTGAGAAATTCACTGGTTTTTATTTTAGGGTGACAACTGAATCCCTAAACTGGAAATCAGAGCACGAGTCTTAACACTGACAGTGAATTGGTGCCTGAGTATTTTTAACATGTATAAAACTAGAAGCAGTAGGTGATTAGCTTAGCATAAAGACTGAGAGAGCAGCTAGTCTGGCTCTGCATTGCTCAAAGTTAAAGGATAAAATAGGCCTATCAGCCCCACTCTTGTTCACCAAGAAGTAAAATGCAGCTTCAATTAAACAACAACTTGTTAATTGGTGAACTTCTGTGATGCCAGTAGACAGAATGTTTAACCTGTGGAGAGAGCTTGTCTTGAGTCTTGGTGCACTAGGCTAATCACTGGCTCTTGGTACACTAATCCTTTAAGATATTAAAATGAGCTTTATTACAGCTGTGACAAATGTGAGTTACAACATTTCTCCACATCCCTGTCTGGCTACAAGTTCCATTGTTCACTGGAGCAACTCCAGGATTTATTCACTTTTTTATTGAAATGACTGCATAAAATTCACAAATAAAAATGTTGTTTTATTTTAAAGACTTTCACTTTAAAGCAGCCCAAAATAGTTTGAGGGCATTTAAGAATACAAACATCTGTTATGCAGATGCTGAGACAGCATTTTGCTGGTAGGTTGTTTCTTCAGATAGCCTTAAATTCTGTAAGTTTCAAATAGTAACACATACAAAAAAACGAATGTCTTTATCCCGCACTTCCTTTCCCTCTGTCTTTCCCATAGAGGAAGAAACAATAGCCCTCCTGTGTGACTGTGTCTGTGTCAGTTATTTGGAAGGGAGGGCCTGCTGTGACATCCTGTTTTGGGTTCATACGAACAGGTTTAAACATATGGTCATGTTTTGGATTTCTTCCTTTAGTCCATCTGGAAGTAAACAGACAACAGCTGGTAGACAACAGTTATTATTACAGGGTTGACAATTAAGGTTAGTGCTGAACAAGCAAAGTGTTCAGGGGAAATGTCAAGCCAGTGTAGCTTTACTGTTCTTGCAGAAAACGCCAGGTAGTTAGAAAAGTGGATGGTAAACTGGCAGGGATCCACAACTCCAGGCTTTGATGCTGCTGATGTGAGTTTTTACTCACATAAAAAACACCACAGGAGGTTTGAAGACTTCCTGCTTTATAGTTTTGCCCACAAACAAATCCCATCCAGCAAAGTTCTGACCCATTTATGACTGCACAAACTGGTTTGGAGCTTTTAAAGAAACTCTTGAAACTTCATAATACCATTATAGTCACAAATGCAAGAAGTTACATGCCTTATAACTCACACATGCAATTGTGAACTTACTTTGTGAAAGACATTAACTCCCACAGAAGCATAGCAGACTTCCTTCTAGGGCAACACACGAGCTTCTTTTCTTCAGAATAAAAACTCCAGTCCAGCTGTTTGATAAAACCTCTGCTCAGGTACTGCCATTTTGTGTCTGAGTGGCCTCAAACTGATTCCATTTGTAGCTAGGATTTTTCCTCTGTGCAATGAGAAGCAATAATGTGCATTGGGGTTACCATGGGTTGTGAAGTGTGTCAAATCTGGCCTAGCTCTTCTGAGGCAGCAGCTTCAGCAGCCTGCAGACTTCTATGCTTGAGAGAAGCTCAGTGCATGACCCACAAAACACACACACATAACTACCACGGAATAAAGCTTTGCAGCCAATTAGCAGCTGTTACCAAAGCACATGTTCCTCAGAGATATGCTGGAAACAAAAAATTAATTTTAGATTTGTAATGATCTGTTTAAATTCAGAATTGCAGTGCCTGCCCATTGCCCCATCAGTGAAACAAAATTATTGTCATTACATTTGCTAATGCAAAACGAAGAATACTAAGTACTGTATAGACAGGTAGCGGTAATTTGTGGAAACGCTAGGATTTTTGCCACTGATTGAAATACTGTGGATAAAGGTAAGGTCATTTACTTACTTAAGGTTAGATGATCATTCAGAGAGAACAACATTCTACAGTCAGGTTCAGAAAAAGGCCATGTGAGTTCTACATATTGATTCTACTTTGTTTGAAATTTACTTTGTAAAAAGTAACGGCGGAAATATGGAGCAGCAGGAACATAGGCTAAGGTCTTGAGCCAATAGCCAGAGAGGTCACCAGGACCTGACCTGATTTGATACAGATACAGAATCCTCATAACTGAATCCAAGGAATGATTGGAATGGTCCAACACAGCAGCAGTCAAATCACTTATGTAATATGGTTCCAAAATTCAACAGCTGGCTTAAATCTGGCAACACAGCCCACTAGAGAAGCAGTCTAAATAAATAATAGCTATTGTTGGAGCTACTCGTTGTCCTCTCACACCACAAAGCAACTCAGAATGCCAAGCTTCTCCCTCTAACTGGCTGAAATCTTAAACCAACCTTTACAGGAGACGGTGGGACTTTTGCTTTGGTGCCCCCACCCCTGTAACAAAAACCATCCCTGAACTAAAGGTATCCTGTAGCTACGTTGGGTCATAAATCAGAGGAGGGGCTCTTTTCATTCCCCTCTCTCATGTATGACCTCTGCTTCCCAGGGGGTCAGGGACATGGGCTGAGCCTCGGCCCTGTGGGAAACCTGACCAGGAGCCAAGGACCCTCTTCAAATAACCGTCTGACGTCAGGGCAGGCTGCAGCAGAACAACAAGAGGATGGCCGGAGGGCCTGGTTCAAACCCAACTGAAACTTACAGGAAGAGGACACAAGAGTTTTATGTGCTTTCTTTTCAGTGTGCAGTGAGCTCAGTTGGCCTTCATTGTAGAACAAGGTCTGGGATTGACTGCAGCTGGGCTGAACCGAAACAGAATATATACTCTGTTTGCAGAGAGTAATACAGATATCCACAGTTTCCTGGTTTAGGAGTTTCACAGCTTCAGTGATTTACTTGAACTTCTGCTGTCCTGTGAAAGAGCCCAGACAGGTATGAATAAATAAATGAAAGGAATGAAACACAAAGGCATCATCTTCTTCTCCTTTGACTTAACACTAGTAAGATACTTCTAGTAAAGAAATAAGAGATTACCCAGATAAATTTTGCCAGATTAACCAGATTGCTTTTACCTGCTAGGAGTGCAGATTAGCATGGTTTACCGGAGGCTTTGCGCTGAGATAGAGAGAGGGAAATTACCATTAGCTCCCTGTAGCCTTCTTCATACCGTATCCAGGTGTTCATTTGTGCCAGAACAAGCTGAATCTGGAAACCTGTCAAGCTGTGACTGGCACCTATTCCAAAGTTTAATACTTTCGGTACACATAGCTTTTTACACCAGCCTATTGGGCTAAAATTAGAGCAGTTAAATGTAATATAAAGGTATTTATGTCATGACATATCCAGCCTGTACTGGTCCCACTGGGTGCACATTCAATTTAACATTAGTGATGTGGAAAAAAGCAAAAATCAAAAAAGTCAGGCAACTGTAATTTAAATTGCATGATGCATTAGGGTCTATAAGAACGTATTTATTTAATGTTACTGCATTATCTAGTCTCTGGTCTGCTTTAAATTTGTTGATGTAATATTCTCAATCTAATGTTAATGTGGAATGGAGTAAGCACTCACACATTAGGGTGAAGGCTGTAGTCTTGCGGTCCTAATGCAATTAGCATTATCTCAACATTTATAACTGATGCTTGCAAGTGTGTGTTTTTATATGATATGTTGGTCTCTACAAACACACAACAAATACTGTTTTTGCCTCTAAGCTGCTCCCTTAATGTGGAAACTACTCAAACACACTGGTCATTGAGGAACTTTTTTTCATCATTGCCCCACACTGACATGCCAGGTCCATCATCACGTGATATTCCGGGAATTCGTAATTTACTGATTTAAGAGCTGACTGTATTCTTCCTGTTTTGTGGAAAAGACTGATAAGACTTAAAAAAAAAACAGCAGAGATGTTGAGTTGAATGAATTAGTTCTTTTCTGAAGGATGCTACAGGTTGAAGATCTCTGACCTTGTATGAGTGTCATCCTTTGAATGATTGTTCTTACAGTAGGTTACTGTCATGTGAGAAACCTGTTTGCTGATAATCCAAAAGCTTTTCACATTAAAATAGGTGACAGGAACCGAAGTGTTAACATCCATCAAATTTACCTGCTTTCTTTTCTCTGTATTGACATGATTTCACAGCAAATAGTTTCCAACATTCAAAGCTTTCCTTTCTGCACAACTCCCATCCATCCTTTTGTTATAGCGATTATTCCTGAATAGGGTCGTCGGGGGGGCTGGAGCCAATCCCAACTGACATTGGGCAAGAGGCGGAGTCCACCCTGGACAGGTCGCCAGTCACAGGCCTGACACTTAGACAACCATATGCACTCACACTCACTCCAATTTGGAGTCACCA